CCTCTCCTCCCAAAAGTCCAGCAGAATTTCCTTATTGGGTTTAGATGTTGTTAACAAAGACAAACTCCTATAGGCTGCTTCTGTCTTTGGTTGAGCTAAAGTACAAGAGATTACAAGGCCTGCCACCTGTTTTAAATGAACTAGAAAGGAAAACCATTTGGAAGGATGAAGTAAAATTCCAGGCTTGTCCTGCCATGCTGATTTGGAGGCCATGATAAGGGCAAAACATCACCCAAGCAGCGGGCACTATGGGGATTAAGAGAAGTAAACAGATCTGAGAGACAGTAAGCTCACAGAATCGTAATACTTAATCAGAAAAATCTGGACTCCAGAGATTCTGACTTAGGGGAGGCTAGGAAGTGACATGGGAAGGAGTTGACTTTGGAATCACACACTCTGGATTTACATCCCCTCAGCTGCTTGCTGGTTGATCATGGGTAGATGAGTGTAGCTTGTAAGTCTTATTTTCTCCATAAGCCAGATAGGGTTAATGCTACCTACCCATGGTTGTTGAGGGTGGTAAGTGCTGAAAACAATAGCTATCACCTGGTGAGCATTTGAAACCTGATGACTGTTACATAGTGTGCCATTCGCCAAGACAGTCGTGCTGGAGGAGAATCTGGTCTGGGGGTTCTAGTGTGAGGGCTCAGCTTTAGAACAGGTGACCTTGAAAGGGTCATTATGAAGTATCTACTGTCTGCACTGAGAGGTGCAGGAGCTAATTAGATGTGTTAGTCTGGAATTTGAAAGAAAGTTCAGGATTGAAGTTATAAGTTTGAGAGGCTGCTGACCTCAGGGAGTAGTTGAAACCTTGAGTTGTGTGTGAGGTCCTCCAGGCAGAGTGTATATAATGTGAGCTGATAGGAGACCGGGTGCTGGGCCTACAGATCTGTTCCAATTGTGAGTGACCCTTTGTCAATGTGCCTCTCTGTGTCATCTTTAATGTGATGTCATTGTCTGGAGGTGAATCTGAAAATCCCACTCAGGTCTTCATTTCAAATATATAATCTCATTGCTCACCATGATCCCTCTCCCTGAAATAAGTTAGTTGCCTATAATCTATCACATCAGGTGAGATTTCCATCTGAAATTATGGTCTTTAGAAAATAAAGTAAAACATATTTCAGAGACTTTTCAAAAACAAACTTTGTTCATCTTTATTCTGGAGGATTCTTTCACTAAAAACCAGGGCAGACTTCCCAGTGTTTGGGGGTTGCCCAGTTCTTTCCCACTCAAATCATTATAAATAAAAAAAGTCAGTCTAAAGACTTTGCTTGAGTAAAACCAGGAGTAGCTAAAAGTGAATGAGCTGAAACTGGAAGGAAATCCCTTTGTTCAATTGGGGTTTCAGTGAATACCCAGCAGGCGGCTAAACCAGTTCATTAACTGAGAAAAAGACACGTTCTTAAATGCTGTTCTCAGAAGCAAATGCCTAGAAAAACATATCATGGCAGAAAAAAATGCTTTCTGGAACTCATATGCTCTAGATTCGTGAAACATTAGTTTTTATCGTTAATGAATAAACAAATTGTTTCCAAAAAACATTCTCCCCTTCATTCAGTATAATTAACTAATCTGTTTCCCACATGCCAATCTTCCTTTCTAGAAAAATGTGATTTTCCTTGCTACTCTGGAACTCAGAAATATTTATCTTTAGGATTGTTTAATTTTGTAGGGTCCTTTTTACCACGTACTTAAAAAAAAACAACTGACATATGAAAACCGTTTTCCTCTGCTTTTGAAATGTACATTCTGACCTGAAAAGCAGTCTACAAGTAGCATCCTGTCAAACTGAGATGAGTTATTTTTCCTAACTGCCTCTTCTCTGCTTTATTAAATTGTCATATACTGCATATGATTTTTTCACCCGGGCCGAGCCTGCCGTGGGTTCTCTGTTGCATTGTTAACTATTGAAGCATTAGACTGGGGCAGAAATGGCAGGTGGGAACGGCTGGGGGACTTGATCTCCTCCCTGCCAGAGTTCTCCTCTTTCACGAGTACTGCTTACATTGAACAGCTTAAGAATAAGCTCCTGTGTGAGCCCTCGGAGGCCAAGAAGTATTGTTGGATTCAGAAAGGAGTCGCTTTCTTTTTGTGATAATTTGAATATTTTGACAATGAAGCTAAGCTACTTCACTGCCTGGTTTGCGTACCTCACGTTGTGTGCACCCTTTTCTGGGAAGCAGAAGAGATCCCCTGCCTCTCTGAATACATAAATTGGCATTGTCCGTTTGTGAGATGGGTAGGCGCAAAGGAAGAATCATCCATAAGAATTTTACTCTTTTGCTTTCATGTTTTTTAAAGCTCTTAAAAAAATTTTTTTTTAATACAAGCTTTTGGAGACCACCCAATTAAACCACCACAATAAATGTTGAACATTCTGAGAAAAGATATGGCCCATGAAGATGATTTGTGAAGTGTTTAAACATGCAAAACCAGGAATACGTTGAAAACAAATTCTCTGAATGATTCAGACAAATAACCTGCTGACTTCCCGTGTTTCCTGAATTGTGATGGGTTATTTCAAAATTTTAGTTGTCTAAAAATGACCTGTTTTCCCATTTTTAATTTAAAAGGATATTCTCATTACAAAACAAATGGACATCGTTTTTTTTTGTTGTTTTTTATCAAATTAAGAGAAAAAAACAGGCAACCAAGTGAGTAAATCACTTAGGTGAGATATAATTAATTGGCTTTGTTTCATCACAGATTTACGTTTGTACTGGTTAAGAAAATCCCAAAAAGCTTTCCTTGTGAGAGGATTGATTTGGTCGGAATTGTCTTAGTTGGAAGAAGCCAAGTTTTATAATGAATTAGTGAACAGAGATCCTGGTTTCCAAATGCACATGAGGGTTCAGTGTCACAAAGCTGGTTGTAGACTTTGCTTCTGAGGACTGGGTGAAAACACGTATCCTTGGGGTCCCTGTGGTGCGGTTTCTGTCTGCACTGGTTTGCCCTGTGATCTAGGAATCTGCATTTTAAAAATATTTCTGTGCTAATTCTAATGCATAACTAAGTTTAGTAACCATTTAATTGAATATTTCGTTTGAAGACTTCAACCTTTTTGCCCTGCAAATTTGATGAAACTATACGTTGACATGAAACTTTTGTTGAAAATGAGTACCGAGTGATGATTTCTGACTTTGCTTCAATTCACAGTTTGTTTCAGGTTCTGTTATTGCATAGATTTGCATACCTGTTTATGGTATTTTAATACTGTTGGTTTTAAAAAATACCATTTCCTCTGAGTACTGTTTTGAATATTTTATGTAAGCAATTTCATGTGTTCTTTTTTTCCACTTGCAGAAAGCAGGGGGAAACTTGAGAGTTTTTCTAATCCGGTTGCAAGTAGGACAAAGGATATAAAATAAGTACTTAAAGATCATCCATTAGAATGCATGGAAAAGCACTGGAAAGTCTCCCCGCACATCCACGGTTGTGTGTGTGTCTTGAAGTGAGGCTCTGGGTAGAGCACAATGGGGGGAATGTCTCTCTAGCTTCCTTCACTGAAGGTGTGCAAGGTCTCTTCTTGCAGGTTTGAATCTTCAGACAAGCTTCCGGGAGGACTCCATACCCGCCTTGCAGCAGATGTTTCCTGCCACCCAGTAGGTGCGCAAGTTTTAAAATTATTTTCTTTTGGGCATGTTTATTGATAATTGCCTAGAAACACATAGTAAACCTAGGCAGGAATGTGCTGGATGTTCAGGGTACTTCAAAATGGTTCTAGTGGAGAATAAATGCATTTCCCCCCAAACTACAAAACACCTTAGAACAGTGTTCTTTTAGCTGTTCCTTTTAAAAAGCCATCAGAACACTCTACGTTTCAGGGGATCTGATGATGCAGTTGGCAACTTTTTGTGTGCTTGTCCACAGCCCCATAATAACTGCAACTCTGTGGAGTTTTCTGCTGACAACTCTTGTTAGTTCCAAAACATGAAAGCTGCTCCTGCCAACACTCCTAACCTGTGTATGTAAGAAGATGTGTAAAAGACTGTGATTGCTGTGTGGGAGATGTTGACTGACAGACCTGAGGAAGGTGCTGGTCACATGCCAGCAGCACGAGGCAGTCCAGCCACACTGCCTGATGCTTTATTTGGAAATACCATAGTAAAAGCTGTTGCTCGCAGACAGCTTGGCTGAGGGGGGTAGCAAGGTGGACACGGAAAGAGCCATTGGCTTAGCTCAGAATGCCTGGATGCAGCCTCTGTTCACCATCTTTATCACCAATGATATAGTGGGGTGCTATAATTAACATTAATGTATAGTGGAATGATCTTAATACAATTGCTGGTTTTTGGACACTCACTAGGTGCTAAGTGCTTTGCTTAGTACAGCACATTACTTGCAGGATCTCATTAATCCATGTTTACGGCCAGTAAATTTACATCCTCTGAGCCTCAGTTTCCTAATTTGTCAAATGAGGACAATGATGCCTTTCTACCTAGCTCACAGGGCTGTGAGATAGAAATTATTAGGCAGCACAGGAGGGCTTGATGAGCTCTACTGAAATCTTTTTTTTGAACTTTTAAATTTTTTATTTTAAAGTTGTGGGATACAATTCAGGGTTAGGTATACAAATATTCATTATGCAGGTACCCTTGTTGATGAGGTGAGGTGTATCCCCTTTCCCCAGGCAGATTCCTACTACTGCCAATCCTACCCCAGCCCCCTCACCGCTCCCCCCAAGTTTCCTGCTACCGTCAGTGAAATCTTTTATTAAATACTGTTTTGATTCTAATTGAACCACAATATTTTTACAAAATACTATTTTGATTTATTGGCCGAGCAATTGAATGCATTCCAACAGAGCCAACATCTTGACTAGGACCTAAGAACGGCACTAGCGGTTCTCATTAGGGCTGGGAGGTGGGGGAGGGGGCCTTGCCCTGTGTCTTCTGTTTACAGTGTGCTTAACACGAGAAGACTGGGTGTGATAGCCAGTGAGATCCTGGAATGTGGCTGCCCAGTATTCAGTGGTGAGTCCATGGGCTGGAGACGGGCCAGGGAGATGAGCACACCAGGCTGTGTCTGTCTCAGGAGCTAAAACGGGGACAAGCCCAAGCAGGATGGACAGTAGAGTCGCTCAGCGAGCAGGGAAGGAAGAGCAACTTGAGACATTGCTATAGGCTACTGGGAAGGAGCAACAAGCATGCAGCAATGGGAAATTGGGGCTTATTGTGAGCAAGGTGCCCGGCCTCCAGGGCGACGAGGAGCCCAGAGCAGCACATGAAAGCCGCCTGCGGATGGGCTGGGGGATGGACCACACATGTGGATTGCAAGGACAGCTACTTAGAGAGTTCACATTCCTCCCCCATTGAACTGGGTATGATTGTAATGGTTTGTTAAACAAACAAAGGACCTAGAGCTGTGAATGGGGGAGAAAAAAGACTTAAGGTGAAAAGGAGAGGAGGCCCTGCTTGCTCGTGTTCCACTCTTTTTACGCTTTCTCTCCCGTGTCCTTCACATTCCTTTCCCCCTTTCAGAGAAGCCAGTGGAGTAGCTTGGAAAACTTGCCTTGTCTCCTCAGTGCCCTCTCCTTTCAAAATGGAAACTGATGAAATGTGTATCCATTTACAAAGAAAAAAATTTAAAACCAAGACAATCTTAAAAGACCAGTGATAACTATTTTCTGTTTTGAATTAAGTATTTCTGGATGAACCATTCGCTGTGCATCCTTTGAATGTATTGGACATGACACAAAAAGGCAAAAAGAAAATTCTCACTTGATGTTGGTGCAATAATTTTTTACCAAGCAATAGTAAAATAAGGCCTTATGGCCTGAGAGGCAGGTAGGCCTGCTTCTAGAGGAAGAGGAGGAGCTTGGGAACCAGGCTTCACAATTTCACTTTTCTCACGTAACTCTGTAACATGTATATATACAGTCTCTACTGTAATTTCTGAATATTCCTCCATTGAAAATGCTTGAAATAAAGAGTGTACATTGTTATTTTTGACCAGCTCATCACCTTTGTGTCCAGGGTAATCCGATTTGGTCGTGGCCTCATCCTGTGTAAAAAGAACCAGTTAGCCTTTCAGAACAGCACCTTTTACATTTGCTGTTCCCTCGGGTGACTAAGTTGCCCCTAGGGGAAGGATAAGTGATGACACGTAACCTTTTCCTCTCTGTAAAGTGATCTGTTCAGGAGACGTCCTCACTTTCGTTGGCTCTCTGTTTCCTGTGGGAGAAACCCAGTTGCCCCCACTAGGAGTGCTGACCTGTAGCTCATGTTTTGATGTGGCCGCCTCTCCTGCTACTCGCCTTAGACACACGTGTCCTAGCCAGCCAGTCCTGCGTGCCCCATGGCGCCCTGTGCCGCTTCATGGCTCTGCACTTTTCTGTGTCCTTCCCTCTGCCTGCAATTTACCTCCTCCCTTTTGTCTACTTGGTATTTACTCTTAAACTCAGCCTAAGTAGTCATCATCAAAAAAATTAAAAAGTCGGGCTCGGTGGCTCAGCCTGTAATCCCATGCCTTTGGGAGGCTGAGGTGAGTGGATTGCCTGAGCCCGAGGGTTCGAGACCCGCCTGGGCAGCGAGACCTCATCTCTACAATAAATCAAAAAATCAGCTGGGCGTGGTAGTGCATGACTGTAATTCCAGCTACTCGAAAGGCTGAGGCGGAAGGATCGCCGGAGCCCAGCAGGTCGAGGCTGCGGTGGCCGGGAGCAGCCACTGCACTCCAGTCTGGGCGACAGAGTGAGACTCCAACTCATAAAAATTAAAAAATTAAAAAATTAAAAATTTAGAAAGTGCAAATATTCAAAAAGGAAAAACAAAAATTTTATCATCTGTAATTCCACCCCCAAGATAATCTGTTGCTATGTTGTTAACTCTACTTCTAGTTCTTTCTCTATATATTGATACTATTGTTTGCGGATCAAACAGTCCACCCAAGTCCTGAGAATCCTTTCTAGATCTCAAAGCTTTCAAGGTTCCTTCAGGTGAGTTTAACTCACCAACCTGGCTTCACGCTTCCTGAAAAAGATCCAGGCTTTTCTTTCCCCTTGAGTGGTAACCTTATTGGGACACTGATAGTGCTTGCTAATGAGAGGTATGGTCTCTCCCATCCTACACTTAGAGTCACCACTATCAGCCATAGAAGCAGACCCCAAAAGGGCCTAAAGGTGAGTCCTGATGATTTCTAGGGAGGGCTTAGGGGAACATATTTCCAGCTATCACACAGGAACAGTCCTCATCCCTGACTTTAACAACTAGAAAATCTCCTAATAACAACGGTTCTTGTTTGGATTCTGGGGCTTGGTCTTCACTACTCACACCACTAGCTACCTAGAGTCATCATTAGTAAACAGTTGTCTTGCAACAAGGTGGACTCCATTGCAGCTTGAGAACCAGCCCTGGATTGAACACTTGCCTCTCTGGATGCACATGTCTGTTCTGCTTACTTGTCAAAATTCATTCACCTATTTCTTCTTGAATGTTTTCTGTTTTAAAACACAGCATGGGCCGGGAGTGGTGGCTCTAGCCTGTAATCCTAGCACTTTGAGAGGCCAAGGTGAGAGGAATACCAGAGTTCAGGGGTTCGAGACCAGCCTGGGCATCTTGGTGAGACCTCATCCCTACAGTAAATTAAAAAAAAAAAATTAGCCAGGCGTGGTGGTGTATACCTGTAGTTCCAGCTACTTGGAAGGCTGAGGTGGAAGGATCGCCCGAGCCCAGCAGGTCAAGGCTGCAGTGGCTGTGAGCGTGCTACTGCACTCTAGCCTGGGCAACAGAGTGAGACTCCAACTCAAAAAAAAAGTCAGCACGTATGATGGAAAGAGGATAAGTGGCAAAGACTTAAGGGTCTGCAGAGATATCGCATTCCCTCCTTTTCCCCCATGGGCCCTTTGCTGAATGACCCAGCTGGTAGAAGCCTTTGGCCCTGTCAAGAGAGTCCTATCTATACCTGCCCCTCGCTTCCACTCTTTGTGGATGAGGAAGGGCAGTGGCGGGGCTGTTCACAGACCTGTGAGGAACAGAGCACTTCTGTGGTGTTGGGTCCTGCCTCCCTGGTCTCCAGTCATCCCCTCCCCTTGGTAGTCTGGCTTCACTTAGTCAAAGTTCCAGTTGAGACAGTTTATTGTCACTCTCTACCTACTTCTTCCTCTTCTCTTCCCAGCTCCCTCACTCCACCTCTGGGTAGACATGGAGTCCACGGCTAGCCTTGGCTAAGTAGGTTAGAGAATATCTTCAATCTATTAAACAAATTATAACAGAGTCCCCTTTTTAAGAAGCTCACCTTCTTCTAGTAGATTAGGCCACCAAAATGTTCTTTTTAAAAAAAATTTAAGTTATTAGGGTCTTGCTTGTATTGTCACCATCTAGAAGTTATTTAGGAACATCTTACCAAGTTTTTGAACTCCAATTTAATTCTCATTGTGCCCATTTTAATCATCATAAGCCTGTCACTACACCGCCTTATCCCAGAGGAGCTGGGAGAATTTAGAGACAGAAGACTGCTCTTCTCTGTCATCGGAGCTCTGAGAACTGCGTGCCCCCGCAAGCCCGCTTCTGCCCTTCTGGGCGCAGAGTTGACATCCTAAGGGAGCATTGCTCTAGCTGCCGCCTGCCTTAAAGCAAACAAACTCCTCCTCACCCCCAGGGGTAGCC